TAATACCAGTATGAAAACGAAGCGAACATTTAAAGTTAATTATTCAGAAGAAACTTTTACTCCATTTATATTATATCTCGTCCGATGTGCGTTTCTAAAGTGTAAACAAAGGTTAGCATTTCTATGAAACATGACGTTACAGAATGATAAAAATACTTAAATATATTATTTTTATAGCAATTCAATCACGTGTCTCACATTTAATTCAAATGGTGAAACAAAATCCTTTTCTGAAACGTATACAGAAAATGGTTAATGGTTAATGGGTCGTGGAAAAAGGCTAATTAGGCCACCAAGGACATGCCGATAGGGTAGTATTCAAATGAGTATATTGTATAGAAATTAGTTTGGGGTTATAATATTGAAGGAAAGTGGTCAAGGCAGATTACATTTTACTGTATCAGTGGTTTTAATGTTTACCGGTAATTTTCCTAAGCGGTTTACTTTCTTGAGATCTTCGGCTAATATTTCTTCATACATTTTAGTTTATATCACGCGTGAAATTCTTTTTATGACTTGTGTTGGGCAAGGCCGTGGTCTAGGCCACACGGAGTTTTCCTTCGTGGCATCCCAACAATTACTCCATTCACACACAGAAGAAGGCAATGGCAAACCACTTCTGGATCATCTGCCAAGAACGTATATGAACAGGTCCCAGTCCGAGAAGAGAAAAGGATGGAAGGATCCTGTTCATATGGACCTGTCGTCAGACAGAACACTAAAATAAATAAATTATCATAGAACTTGTTTTGACTAATTATTGAAACAACAGACAAAAACAACCTACATAAACATCATTTTAAAATACTCTTGTGACATTCAAAATGTCTACCATAATATATTTTTTTCTATCTGGATATGTCTAGGGGAATCATCAATGTGCATCGCACGTACCTTAATGCTGTCATATATTTCATCACTCAATTTATATTTGAAAAAGAGTATAATTTATATCTCAAATGCAATGTTACTTTCTCGGTTTTGGGTACAAATATTCTCCTTGGTAGTTTAAACCTTTCCTTCAAAATGTAATGTGCAAAATAATTACTACTAATTTTAATTAACTGAAGCTTTTGTTTCGAATTTAGAAACTTCAAAACACACCTGAAGGCTGGCAAAGACAACTCAACAAAAGATTAGGGAGATTTATATGAATATCTAACTCAAAGAGTCACGTACATTTATAAAATACAAAAAAAAAAACAAAAAAAACAAACAGATTCAAATGTTTTTGGTTAATAAGAAGTCTGTCTTGTGCATAGTCTGATAGACGTTTACTGACGTTTCGGAGGTGCTTGCTACCTACACTCTCAGGGAGATGAGTTATACCCGATGATGGAGGCAGGAAGGTTATCTGAAACGTCGGCAAACACGGCGTAACAACCCAATAGACAGCAATCTTTACGCTCGCCGTCATGAGAAACTGAAATTTCAGTTCTAGTTTAATGTGAGCATTTCTTAGTAAGATTTATATAAAGACGAATTGAACACAAAGAATTTCAATCAAGGCGTTGGAATAATTCTTCAAATGTAATAAATCCGGTCCAATGGATAATAACGAACACTCCGTCTACTTTGTTCTGACACAACTTCCTGTAATGAATCCAATATCCGCTCTCGCACTACAAATAAAATAATATAATAATAAAAAAATTATTATTCCTGTATGAGTATATAAACAGAGTTGCAATCCGGTTGTCATGACAACGGTTACCACAACATCTGAGTCTTGCAGGTAAAGTCGGAGCTTGAACTATGCAAGAGACGGAGAATTGCCAGTCTCAACTATCCCGACACCGCCTCGGCTGCCATGGAGGATGGTCCCGGAATCTTCCAGAAATGCGCCCCTTACGCAGGGTGAGTATAAAACAGAAAATGCTTTATTGGGTTCTCTGAGACGTTTGGCGTGTCTGCGATCCTACGGGTGGGTCTGACAAAGCAAATCCTGCTGATAGAAGCATTCGTGTTTCAGCCACGTAGTCAACACTTTCTTGATCATCTACCAACTCGGGACATGCTGTGTGTACGTGGTGTTTGTGTCCAGCAACATTAAAGAGGTGAGTGACAGGGCCCAGTCCTCATATCTCATAATCTTCTTGTTTTATTACGTCAAAAAGAACACGATATTAATTTTCAGAATGGATAATTGCGTCTTATAGTATATGAAATGGAATATCGTAATTTCAATGACATCTCAGATGCAAGATTATGTACTCGTCATTCTTCAGGAAGACGACTTTCGGCCTCATACAATCCCACCAGCAAAGTATTAATATTATTTAACTACATTGTGAAGTGTTTTAACATTATCCTTTTAGTTACTGTATATCTGAAACTCCGAACTGGGAGACGCGATGGTTGAATAAGCTGAGGTTTCACGCAGCTTCTGTGCAACTGAACCTTACATACGAGGTGCAATCGGAAAGTTTCCAGACTGCGCGTATAAAAACCCGTACACTTATCTCAGGTATTAAATTCATCCATCACCCTCGAAGTAGTTCCCCTGGGAGTAAACACAACGATCCCAGCGCCGCTGCCTAGCCTGGAAGCATCCCTGGAAATCTTTCTTTGTCAGCCTGTCAAGCACCATCTGCGATTCTGCCTGAATCTCTTGCCAAAGACTCGCCAAAACGGCTACGGAAACCTATGAAATGCTAAAGCAAGCATTTGGGGAGTCCGCAATGGGTCGTGCACAAACTTTTGTGTGGCATTCACGTTTTAAAAACGGCCGAACTTCTGTCGATGATGACGAGCGTTCTGGACGACCATCTTCGAGCACAACGCCCGAAAATGGTACGAAGATTCGGCAGGCCATTCACGAAGATCGACGTCGTACCATAACGACTTGTGCGACATTGTTGGGACCTGTCAGCTGATTCTAAAGGAAGAACTCCACATGCGAAACCAAGGCTCCTGTCTGAGGACCAGAAGCAGAATCGACTTCTCGTTTGTCAGGAGCTCAAAGATCTTGCAACAACCGACCCCAACTTCCTTTCTAAGCTCCGTGTGACTTCTTCCTCTTCCCAAAGATGAAAATTCGGCTAAAGGGAAGGAGATTTGAGACGATAGAAGAGATTCAGGCAGAATCGCAGATGGTGCTTGACAGGCTGACAAAGAAAGATTTCCAGGGATGCTTCCAGGCTTGGCAGCGGCGCTGGGATCGTTGTGTTCACTCCCAGGGGAACTACTTCGAGGGTGATGGATAAATTTAATACCTGAGATAAGTGTGCGGGTTTTTATACGCGCAGTCTTGAAACCTTTCGATCGCACCTCGTACATTCCTTTTAAAGTCACAGAAACGTTATCATCACAATCTTGTTGATTCTGGTACCGTTTTCCCTCTTAGTTTCCAGTTTCATGACACGTCCATTACTGTCGCAGGTGGTGGACGAATATCACGAGCCGAAGCTGGACTTACGGCTCTACATGGCGATGCTGTTACTGCCCCTGATCCTCATCAACTGGGTGCGCAACCTCAAGTACTTGGCGCCGTTTACCACGCTCGCCAACTGCCTCACCTTCATCGGCTTCGGTATTACCTTGTACTACGTCTTTGTCGATATTCCGCACATATCGACCAGAAACCCCGTGGGGACGCTCAGAGACTTTCCACTCTTCTTCGGAATCGTACTTTTCGCGTTGGAAGCTATCGGCGTGGTATGTAATGGTAATGTTCGGCAGGTATAATTGTATACCTGTATGCTTCATTCAGAATGGTAGCTTCAATATTGCTCATTTGTAGGGGCTACAAAGAAAGGTTGACAAACGCCAACGGTAGAGCACAAGATCTTCAAATATGATAAGAAAAGACGTCGTACTACACAGTTACGGTGGTCTAGCGGTTAGAAAGCTGGCCTTGTAATCCTGGGGTCTCCGGTTCGATTCCCGGCGGTACCCGAATTTATAACTTGTGTTGGGCAAGGCCGTGGTCTAGGCAACACGGAGTTTTCCTCCGGGGGCTTACCCGGTTTCTCCGTGGCATCCCAACAATTACTCCATTCACACACAGAAGAAGGCAATGGCAAACCACTTCTGGATCATCTGCCAAGAACGTATATGAACAGGTCCCAATCCGAGAAAAATATGGAAGGATCCTGTTCATATGGACCTGTCGGCCGACAGAACACTACAAATAAAATAATAAACTACACAGTTCTGAATTTCAAAGTTCAAAGTCTGCTTAGGATTAAATAAACTAAATAAAACTGCCGAGGCCTGGCTACCAATATTGCGTGATATCATATAACATTTTCTCAAATATGATTGATTGGTCCATTTATGGTCATATGGAGTGACAGTCCCAACTAGGAGAGATATTCTAAACAACGTCTGTATTAAAGACTGATGCTCAAAACTTGGAGGAAGGAAGATTATTCTTCACGATTATGTCAATAACTATAATCCTCTGCGATTATGTCATCGCCTTAAACAACGTCCTGTATTAAAGACGGATGCTCAAAACTTGGAGGAAGGAAGGTTATTCTTCACTATTATGTCATTAAATATAATCCTCTGCGATTATGTCATCGCCCGTGCTGCCATCTGTCATTGGTCGTACGAAGCACTCGTGCTGCCATCTATCATTGGCCATATGAACAATTTGATAGCACACTCATCAGTGATGACGTAATCACAGACCATGATTTGATGATGATGTATATTATGTTATGATTTTGGTGATTATTATACTTCGTGAAGAGAACTGTTCATAGTTTCAATGCCAGTGTGTGTTTCTCAACGCTGTCTGTCCGTGTCTTTGTAGATATTGCCTCTGGAGAACAACATGAAGACACCGAAATCGTTTGGGGGGAAGTTCGGAGTGCTGAACATTTCCATGGTCCTAATTATCATTCTGTATGTCGGAATGGGGCTTTTCGGCTACATGAAGTACGGTTCGGGGGCCCTGGGCAGCATCACTCTCAATCTCCCAACCAATGAAATGTGAGTTGCTAAGTTCGAAATAAATCGAAAATCCCTAGGACCGAAATAACTGATTACTGTTGATAAAGAATGGATTTCTTAAGCATTTTCAGGCGCTCGCAACTAAAAGCTACCAAAATTATCCTATTAGCTTCGTCATGTCTGTCTTTCTGTCCCGTGTAATAACTTTATAACTGCTTAACGGATTTTCGTGACACTTTATACCGGGGCGTTTAAGTAAAATTTGTCCACACGGTCAATTTTCGATTAGAATCTAGGGTGTTGAAATATGAAAGTGACGTTCTGTTTTGAAACAATGCTAATATATTTACCGTAATTATGTCCGTTTGCCCCACAGTCTGGCTCAGAGTGTCCGAGTGATGCTGGCAGTAGCCATCTTTGTAACGCACGGTCTACAGTGCTATGTTGCAGTGGACATCACGTGGAACCACTACATGCTTCCAAAAATGGAGAAATGCTCGCAGAAGATTTTGTTGGAATACATCGTGAGGACGTCTCTCGTACTAGTCACATGTAAGTCATTATGAAATAAAAGTTCCTCAGTCACGAATATTGATTCAAACGTCTCGTAGTACTATCGAGGGCAGTTAAAATTAGCTTATGTAATCTGCATTCATCTGTTTTACAGTCGCTTTGATAACTTCTTTGTGTCTTACTGGACATGGACATAAACGTTTAGAAATTTTAGGGTTGCTCAGGTTTGTGTTACAAATTCTCCCGATATACAATCTCAAATGATTCAAAACGTATCTGACGACAAAGAGTTGGTATCAGAAATACAAGAAACTGAATGTGTGAACTGTAGTGTGTTCACTTGCCCCTGTCAGCTTTCAGACCCAAGATTATCCTTAACCAAAACAAAATGACCACCAAAACTCAAACGTCTGCATTGGCTATCAAATTGTGGATGCGAGAAGCACTACGAATATCTACAGACATTCGACAAAAACTGGAGGTAATGGGATTTCAGGGTGTGTTCAGTAATCTCTGAAATCGATAAGTGGTTGTCGATCCTCAGGGTACCAAAGTAATCATCGCCCATGGTACAGGAAACCTCTAGTTCTCAAATTCCACTGTTTGCAGTCCTACTGGCCGTCGCCATTCCAAACCTGGAGCTGTTCATCTCCCTGTTCGGTGCCTTGTGCCTGGCAGCACTTGGCATAGCGTTTCCGGCAATCATAGAGACCTCCACGTTCTGGTACAGCATCAACAGAAGCAGCAGCTTCTATAGCATGCTGGCACGTAACACGTTCCTTGTCATATTCAGCCTCTTTGGTCTTGTAGTGGGCACATATACCAGCCTTTCCGACATTATCCATACGTTCTTCACGTAGACACGTCCTGCCAACCTAAGGACTTCTTCAGAAATGGCTTCAGATAATGCAAGGTATGTGTTGAGAGTTATGTCTGTTGTGAAAAATACGTAATTCAACAACCGATGATGCCTGAGAAGAAACATTTATAGCCTCGGTTATGTCAGTGGTGGAATTGAGGAACTATGTGATTCAAAAGAACAAGATCTCTCTTGGATGTGACGTGATCATTTATATGAACACAACCTCATATCCTGTTTGTTTAATATCAATTCTGTTTACGTGTTACAAAGTTTAAATACCCTAAAATTATACATTATAATTATATAATCAAGTAGGTTGGTCTCTGATAGAAATAATAGAATTTCGGCCACCATCTTAGGTCCTTTTCATAATCTTTTGTTATTTTATGTATTTTGGTAATGAAATTTCGGATTTCTTAAGATTTTTTTTTATCAGACAATGGAAAATTAACTTCTCAAGAAAGGACTCTTCGCCATGGAGTTCTCCAGCAGGACATTTTTACCCGTTGCTCTGTCAATCTTACACTTTTATCAAATTTAAATAGAGAGGGATGAATTTAACCACTAGATTATATAATTTATATTTAAATCCAATTTCACGTAGTTTTTAAACGTAGGATGTCGCTGGAACTAGCTTAGTAACTGATGTCTATGAAAAATTATTTTGCTCATAAGAAGTATTACTAATGTAAACTGAGAAATCGTAGATCTACGCTCTTAAATGCGTAGAAATATTTTGTATCGAAATATACATTACAGTTTATAGAAGCAATTTTCTTCTTTTGGAATTCATTCGTCGGTTTCCTTAAGAAGTCTTAAAAATTTTATAACCTAACCTAAAAAAACTGCATTTCAAAGGATAAATCCTCCTTCGTCTTGAGATACAAATGGAAGAGACACCTATTAATTCGGATCCTACAGATCCAACTATTATCGATCTTTGAGCACATCTGTAGAGAGGTAGGACTACCGGATCTATATATTTTTAGACTTCTTAAGAAAATAGAGATTATATCCAAAATAAAGAATGACCATCGCCAAAGACACGCAGAGAAGTTTGTAGGCGGCTTGGGACCCCCATACTCCTTATCCTTTACTCAGGAGTGTTTATTATTAAGAGATTTGCCTTTGTCCTTGAAATATAATGGTATAGTCTTTTAAAGTTAGTTACATTAAATAGCCCATTTCTGACAAATATTTATGCAGGCATGAAAGGTACACTTTTACCGGATTCATTAATTACGAGTATATTTCATTAGTCATTACCTAATTACATTACTACATTATCAAAATTCATGTCGTGACTGTACATTTGGAAGCCACTGAAAATCTGTGTAACAATTTTGTTTATAATTTTTGTTTCCAAATTTGTTGGTTTTATTTTTTTATATCCAGTTATCTTAATGTTCGTTTATCGCAGTTACGAATCTGCTGATGATATAATTAATGAAGTTCACATATGCACCGACAATGAATCAAAGAAATTTTATTGACCTGGTGAAATCTGTGTTTTAGGTTGTTATAAATCGAGTTTTTCATAACCAAGATAAAGTTAAAGGTCAGTTTGAACTTTATGTAAAGTGGGTGTTACTTCTGATTCGATATAGAGCATCTGAAATCCTCTGAACAAATTTCAGAGTAGTCATCCCTTCAGCGAATTTTGAGATTAAACATGCGTATTTACAGTGAAAGTTACCTTCCTGTAATGTATTCCCTTTACATATTTTGTGCAATGAAATTAGTACAAAATATATTTAAATCACATAAAAACACACCATTCCCTCATAAACTAACACTACAGCTTTAATTGTAATCTATGTTAACTGTTTTATATTCTAAACTTAAATAATTTTCTGAATAATATTTAGTCGTAGACCCCCAAAAAATATTTTTTGGATAGTAGTTTTATTTTGAGACAAATTATGCTACAGAACCAAACAACAATATTTTAATTTACTTTGTAAATCGGTAATTATATATTTAAATTCGTCTATACACACATACATACAATTCAAATGGACGTATCGAGTATATATATTTTTTTATTTTATGGTTTATAAACGTATTTCTATTCCACAGACGTAAAAAAAATACGAAGGTAGAATCGTTGAAGTTCATTGTTTATATTAATTACATCCTGTTATTTCTTTAATTATTCCCTCTTCCAAGCAGATAACTCACTTCTTTCTATGTCTTGCATTCCTTTTCATCCACATTCCAATTTCAAAAAAACTGTCAAATGATTTTTCCTTAATTCGTCCTGTTCATGAAACAAATTTCCTCAAGCGTCAAACCATCTGAATTTTTCAGGAATTTAGTCGACTCAAATTTCAGAAATTATTCATTGTATTAGCCTGCTCATCAATGATAATGCTGTAATAGTACTTAAATTAGACCATTGAAATCTTACCCCTTCCTCATCACATTCGAGACTAGATAATCTTACCGCCTGATAAGTCTCCGTTAAACAACCCACAGACGAATAGTATTTACTTTAAATAACCTCCATATGTATTGACCTACAAATATATAAACCGCTTTATTATTACCAAAAACTTAATTCTCACACAAGAAAATTTAAACTTAATTCTTTAATTTTTTTTTCCAGAAATGAAACTGCTCCTAATATAGATGTGTGTATAGTCGTCGGTGGTAATAGGAATTATTATGTAATATTTTATATTTTCTTGCTAAATATTTAAGCAAGAAATCATATATTAAAATTGTTCTTTATAAGTTTATAAAGAGTTAGACTTCTGAATGTTTGTCCTGTGATAACCACGCACAATTAAACCCGCTTTATATAAATGTTATTAGTCATTACGAGCAATGAAAATCTCAATAAAGTTAGCGACATAATATCTAGAATTACGTTACCTATTAATTAACGATATTATGTTTAAGGTTTACATGCGTCATGTTTGTGTTTTTTGATTAAAATATATAATAAAATTCAGGTCAATACACAAAACTTTATTTAGATGTTAAAATTTAAAATTCTAACATTTAAATTTTAAATTTTAACATCTAAATAAAGTTTTGTGTATTGACCTGAATTTTATTATATATTTTAACGATATTATAATCACTTAGAAAGTATATGAAATCTTGTTACTTCAGTTTATAATTGGAGCATATTTCGACATCTCATTCTTGTAAACCGTTTTCATCGTACGGATTCAAAACACATTAAGGTATTCTGGTGCAATAGTTCGCTATAAATTGTGTTAATTCAACTACACTGAAAACTTGTGATTTTATATAGTAAAACTAGATTCAAAGTCTCTAACAGAATGCTAAGATACAAAACGAGAATTAACTTAATTCCAGTTAAGACAAGCGGATCAGATAGAGATAGATAACGATGGGTTAAATTCCTTCGTAAAAGTAAACAATTATAATTCTTGTAATGAGAATTTTTACGCTTAAAACATTTCAATTAAATTATTTCCCATTTTAACTAAAAATAATTAATAATTAGTATAGCAAATTTGAATATTGTGCTGGAAGCAACGACTACATCTGCATTAATATCGTGATTAATTTTTTATCTTTATATATATAATTACGACGTGTTACCACGTTACTTGGAGTAAGTAATTCCAAGACTGAATGTTACACGGAATATGTTCTAATTATATGGCGAATGAGCTGCTGATACAAACTCAAATCATTTCCTATCCAGACTAATTATAAATGTGGTTACAATACACATGTTAAATCTTGCTCTTGGATATATGTGGATTCATTCATTATAAGAAGTGTTGAATTGTTTTAATTCTAAGCTGCAGAGACAGACATTTTCGATTTTTGTCAAGTACGTAGGAGGGTCGGTGTAATGCACTACCAAAACGCCCGTAACTAAGAAACAAATGCTAATTCGATGATGCCGGCTGGCACACTGATTCACTATGAATGTAGGCCGCACCCCCCCTAGCGGCAGAAGCTCGTACTACATCCGGTTCGCCCTCTATTGACACAGTCTTTAAACTTTCCGATCGCACCTCGTATCTTATAATTAAGATATTCACGGCGTTCTTAAACAAACTGCTGTTTTTAAGTTAGATTTTCTGAAACAATACTAATCGAAACGACTCCATCTCCATTTGAAAAATGTACCTTTTAGTATTACGTGATATAATAAAAGTATGTTACAATGCGCAGGTCGCATATTTTTGTATATTTCTCAATATTCATCACTTATTTATTTTCAATGTGTAATTGTCCTATATGAATGTGATTTCATCCCTGTTGTAAATACTTTCACACTTTTTTTTTGTAGAACTTCCTTAGTTGTTTTTGTTAAAATGATTTGTTGTCTGTATTGTGCAGTGTATTCTAAAAATTCTTGAGGTTGTATTTTGAAATTGAAGGTTTGTGACGATGGTGAGTTATAATACGTAAAACTCTTTTTTTTTTGCAAATTTGTCCGTCGTCTAAATTATAAAACTACGTTTCGGAAGCTGAATTCTGCTAACGTCAGGTAAGAAATGTGATAAGACCTCTCCAGGTCTGATATTATCTCAATCAGGGGCCCCAACAGAGAGAGGTTGTGTGTGTGTTTTTATGAAGGCAGAAGCAGAATTCAGCTTCCGAAATCTTGTAGTTTCACAATATCATTATTTAGAAGACGGAGAAGACCAAAAATCCATTTAACTTCGTTATACTTTGTTTGTCCAATGTAAGACCGTACAGCATACATGTGATATCAATTGTACTTAATTTAAAATACAAATTCTATACAGATACTGAACACTGATTTTACAAATGTTGTATAGTCCTGCTTGCAGGATGACCGCTTTCGAGGACACCTTTGCCCCGTTATCCTGTTCCTACGAATAATTCTAACATGAAAACTTGATTACGAATGGTAAGTCGGTGAGGGTTTGAGAGGAAAAGATAGTGACCTCTCTCTCTCTCTCTCTGGTATTTGTCTGGAAGGAACGAGTAAAACCACGAAAATGTCATTTTGGATAACAGGGAATGCGGTAGAGATTTCTTAAATATTCACAAATAAATATTCTGAATATCTCAAGAATACTGAAGGCTCTCAATGCATTTCAACGAGGCCTATTAGACCAATAAAAACTTTTGAAGTAAAACTGTGCATATCATGTTTATGCCGAAACGTCGACTGTTTTAAATTAAATATTCGTGTTGGATGTGAATGAAAAATCTGGTTTTGAAAACTAATACACCACGGAAAGACAAATTTTTACAATAAACATAATAACTGAAGATGTTTTACGTTGGAGTTAAATGTGTCGAGTTTAAGGAAGTGGTGTCCCACAGGAAGAATTCAGGCAGGCCGGGAAGCGAACCAGGTCCTTCTCGCAACCCACCAGTTCCCCCCCCCCTCCACCTCGCCTTGCCACTAGCTGGGCTCCTCATTATGAATGCTCCACTGAACTTGATGGACAGACAGTGTTCAGCTGGAGTACAGTGAAGACACTCGCCGATGGAAAAAGTTCTCGGCGTAAATTTGGGCACCAGGGTGGAACTATAAGGTGAGCACAGCGAACATTCGAAGCTTTGGGGCTCAGAAGCACCGTCTACTAGACCGACCAGCTAATTGTTTTGTAAAGTACATAATCGTCTCTCAGCATCTGTTATAACTACGTAACAAAATCTCTGCTTTAACACAGCCCTAATGTTCGTAACTTCGTACACAAAAACCTTCCATTAGAATTTCTTATAATCACATCATGTTCCTGTTAAGTCAGAAACAATCTTATTTTCACATCTGTTTCTTGAAATTTTTCAACAGAAATATTTTGGATACAAACGGTAACAAAAACCAAAATCTAAGCTATGAAAACTACATGAGATTATACGATAGTGTAAATATATGACCCAAAGATATATTACGTAACAGAGGCATTGACAGAACTGTAGACCAGTTTTAAAAGTTTTAAAACAGCTTGTAGTATTACGTTATTAAATTGAGTAAATTAATAATAATAAGAAAAATAATAAATGAGAAATAATTATAAAATCTGTAAGAGACCGCTTGTTAAATCTAGGCGTCGATGGTAGGGTTATGTAAAAACTTGTAGAAAAATAGTGTTAAAACTGTGAACAGAATTGAAATGCTCACGATGTGATCCAGTAGCCCGTTTCTCTGAACACTGTGATATTCTTAAGATAGTGTAGTTGCGTCATATTGTGATTTATTAAATTAAAATTAAATTATTTGGTTATTCCGTCAAATCACAATGTATTTAAAATAAGATAATTAAAATAATCTATTATTCGATATGGAACACAGAATGATATTTTAATTATTTTAATTATCTTATTTCAAATACATTGTGATTTGACGGAAAAAGTAAATAATTAACTGTGATATTCAGTTTGTTCGAGTCGGTACTTCTTAATAAATGGAATCTCTTAGTAGGACAATATTCAAATTTGAGACAGTGCAATAGGCTTCCATACATTACACATCGGCTGTCAATACGCTATACAGAAATGTATAGATTAATGTCCCTCAAACTTTCTGGGGTTGCGGACCCCCTCCATAGAATCCTTTGTACGTTTTAGTTAAATAAAATATAAACTAATTAGAATATAGATAGAATTTTAAAAAAAAAATCGTCATATTTTTGTTTCAATTTGGATGTAAAAAAATTTAATGACAGAACTTAAAATGTAATACATCAGAAAATATAAGAAACACTGATGTATAAGACTTCACTGAATTATTATCAAATAATAAGTAAGTGTAATATATATTTTAACTTAAGATTAAACCTAAACGTTTATAGGCTAATAATAATTTTGCTTGGCTCACAGGAGAACGACCGCTCTGTTTACTAGCCGGGTGGCACGGAAGTTTGAAAATCTTGAAGGACCACGACTTCATAAAACCTCTTCTCACTTGCTAATTTTGATCATAATCTCTTAATCATGAAGCTTCACCCCTCAGAGACAATCTCCGATAAATTTAAACATTCGGTCAGTTGGGCAAAATGACTCTCTACTCCTATT